CCTTCTTATCTGAATTTTCACTAGATTTTGGATTTTAGTATGACGACCACCATAAAATGTAAATGAGCAAATGAGAGGTTAACCAATAATTCTATACCTCAGTAACGGGGAACACAAAATTAATTTAATATAAATGATAGTAAACTGCCAATATAAAGTATTTATTTTTATAAAAATAGTAACTAGATATAAATTAGGAAATTTCTTTAAAAGTTAATAATAAATATACCCACAACCAAATTTATATTACTAAAAAAATATTTTCTCATAAAACACTCATATTTTTCGTTTTTAGAAATACGGGGTGATTCCATATAAATTTGTTTGTTTGTATTTCGGGTACTAGCGTCGTATGAACTTATTATAATTAATATTGTTACGCAGCACCCTGCAGTAGCCTGCGGCTATTATAGGAAACGTACAGATAGAAAAAGAAGTGGAATGTTACTCATCGCCCTACAGTGTGCTGCGGTCGTTATAAGTAAAAGTACAAGTAAAAGAAGATAGAATATTCCAGTAATGTCTGGAAATGTCATTACCCGTCAAGAATATTCTAGACGACAGTTCGCGAAGGTTCGAGAAGAGTCGAGCAAGCTATATAAGGATGATCCTGACGTCAGTTTTCAGTTTTATGATAGACGTTACACGTTAATGTTATCAGTTGCATTGTTATTGTTAAAGTTCAGTTGAAATAAATTGTGATACCAAAAACCTGTGTAACAATATAAATATACAGTTACAAACCTAAATACATAAGTCGTTTTCTCCCGATTTGAAGTCGTCATCATCATCAGTTTCCCCACTTCCCACTGTAATAATAATTGGTTCTATTGTTTCCTCTATTAACATATCAAGTTTCCAGAATTTCTCTTTCTCTACTGTGACTTGTCTTATAGCGTTTTTCCATTTGTCCGGTAAAATGTTTAATATGGAGTCACATAATAGTAGACGAACATCTTGAAGTTTAAATGTTGTATTGATTCTCGCTACATATCCCTTCATTTGAGCCCAGATTAGTTCAATGGGGTTAAGTTCACAGTGATAATGTGGTAACCGCAACACTTTAACTCCATGTTTTTTTTGCTATTTTATCTACACTATAGTTTTTAAATTTTGGTGAATGTTGTTTACATAACTGCAAAAGCTCTTTTTTGAGTAATCCCTCTTCTGCAACTATTTCTTTGGCTATTAGCCATTTATTGTTCCTTTAATTTTGAATGGTAACTGGCATTGTCCATAACTATTACAGAATTGGTCGGTAATAAATCTATCATTTGACTGAAATTATCCTCAAAAACATCAGCAGATTTCTTCATGGCAGTTTTTCGTAGAGTTTGAAACAAATTCTAACAAGCCTCTATCAACAAATTCTTTAACTCCTCCATTATGAATGATAATTAAACGGCGATCTTTTTCATTTGGAAATTTTAACACAATAGACAAACCTTCTATAAATGCCTGATGAGCATTTGTAACCTTTTTATCTTGCCAAACTTTTTTTACACAATGTTCTTCATTTATCCATGTTTCATCAAAATAAAAAATATTTTTGTCTTATCTTCTTAATTTTCTAATTTCCCCTAAATATTGCCTCCTCCAACAAATTATTATTATCTCTATGAGCGCAGATCTTTTTTTCCCAAACGAAGTCTAATTAATGTAAAGTTTTCCACAATTTGTCCCTTTTAACGTTGGCAAAGTTTCGTCTCTATTGTTTACTAAGAGTTTATCCAAAGTAGGCATCTTTTTTTTGTAAATAAAACGAATTCACTCTTTTTCGGATCAGTTGTTTGAATGGGTTTTCTCCCATTTGACGTTTTAGGTGCTACTGTAATACTTTCGTTTCTTCAAAAGTCTATAAACGGTTGCTTCTCCAACTCAGGTCATATTTGAACACTCAGAAACTATACTATGAATAGTACTATTGAAATGTTCATGTACAAGAGCGTCATGCACATTTAACACTTAAGTTTTCATGTGCACGGTTAAATTGCCCTTTAAATTCACCGGAGTATAATTAGCCATTTTTATTGCACAAATTCACTTGATCAATATCGCTTTTTATCGCCTATTATTACAGAAATAACAATTGTGCGTGTTACAATCACAGGACTATACAAACAGAAATGTAAATCTTAACTAAAATAATTTATAATCTGCATAACACTTTCTGCCGATTAGAAATTTTAATCCTTTCTAAGAAATTGATCTTGAATTGTAAATATTTTCTACCTGTAGATATTACATAATGTAAGTAAGTAGGTATCATTTTTAATATTAAAAAAAATCCTTTTTGAGTTGTTTATCTTATTATTAAAAAAATAAACTAATAAAAAACATTATAGAATCCTATTATTATTTTACCTTTATCATCCTATGAAAGTGTTTATAAATATAATTACAAATATTTTTAATTTCGATGAAACATCATCCGCAAAACACTTTTCTACCATGATAGGTTAAGCAGGATTTCCTTCGAAATATCCACATTTTTAAGGATTCTTATACTACTGGTTTTCTTCTTTTTCATAAAACTTTTAGATTCAACTAAATTGTTATATTTAATTTTAACGCTTTCATAGACTAGGAAATGCTAAGCAAATAATACCCTTTACTGGCCTTGATAATAACCTTTTTTCTCGAACAGGGAAGTGAAACGACAATAAAAGATAATTGGTTTACGTCAGCCAAGACTGCGGTTTTAGTTTTGACACAAACATAATGCAGTTTCTATTCCAGTTGAAAATTTTTCTTTAAATAGAAAATTCTAATACCTTGATAATGATGCAGTGTTTTACGAATGGATTTAAGATCTAATGAATTAGTAAATTCATCTTTTTTATCCATCTAAATTATTTTATAAACGAAGGAATTTTGATTTTTTTATTTATAATAGTAGATAAAAAAACTACTAATATTACCAAAATGTTATTAATAGTCTTTTTTTTTTCTTTATCTTTGTCCTGGTGCGCTTTTTCCGATTCTAGGCCGAAAATGTTAAAACGCCTCCTAGCTATAGTTTCGCATTAGAAGATCACATGGTATGAGGTTTCTTCCTCTTCCATGCAGAGTCTACATGTAGTGAGATCATTGTGTAATCCCATCACATGAAGGTGTTTCAGCAAGCAGTGTCCTGTTAGTACTCCCACAATGGTGGATATCTGAGGCCTTGCGTGTAGTAGTACATCAGTAGCCAAGCGTAGGTTTGGTCCCCTTAGCATGAGCTTACTGATTATGTGCCCTCTTATCTGTTGCCAGTGAATTTGGTATTTAGGGGTTATCCACCTGTTCACTGCCTGTCGAGTAGAGATTTTGCTTATCCCAAAAACAGGTTTAATTTAATAGTCTTAAACACCAATAATGTCACGTTCTATATAGCTCCATTGTGATCATGGGCGCCGTCAAGAGCCTGCAAGAGGGGGTAGTTTCTTCCTGGAAATTTCCAAGTTTGCAAAAAAGTTTCAAAATAGCAACCTACAAATGATTGTGATATCGCTCTTATAATTTTATTTTTTTTTCCTTCTGAAATCTCTTGTTTCACCTAATTTGCATTTATTCTGTTAAGTAATTTCCAATCTCATATTGACCTTTACATCATACCCAGAGATAAATCATACCCATTACAATTTTATTTTCCTGCCCGTCCATTACTGCGTCGACATCCTAATTTTTTCATTAATTTCAACGTTTTTAATATCTTTCCTTTCTCGGATTTTTTAGATTTTGCGAATCTTTATTGTGGAAAAACATATTTTGATATTTTTTTCTGGAAACTTCGATGCAAATTCGTGCTTTGATTATGAATTATGACCAATTACTATTTGTTATTTTTATTGTAGAATTATTAACATACAAAGTATTTGTCTTGTTTAATTGGAAAGAAAAATAGTTGATTGCAATTAACATTATTTGCTTTTAATCAACATGACAAGATGAAAATAAAATAACTAATAAATAATAGATATTGAATAAACAATAAAATGTTTTTGTTGTATTTATAATTAGCGACGTATAAATTTATATAATTTAAGATATGTTAATTTTTTAAAAATAGTTTAATTTAAATAATATTTTCCTGATAAAATAGGCATTGATTGGTATTACGAGTATACGTGTCCCTTTCTGGATTAAAGTGGACTGTATTATAATTCTTTTGACGTGAATTAACATGTTTGTTTCCAAGCCCAAATTTCAGGATTCTGTTCTGTGGTACCATATTGAGTTACCGGTTATACGTCCTTTCTATACCATGTGTATCACATGTGATGATATTGGGCATTGTTTATTGGAACCATTATTAAAAATGTATGGTTCCAATTTAAAGGAACTCGGAATCACCAGTGATATACATAAGTATGTAAAAATCGTAGTTTAGTTTGGGTGTAATTAAGTATAGCTACATTTATTTTAACAAAAAAATATACAATGTACAAACGTTTAGAACATAAAATATGAATACAAATTTAAGTCAAAACTATTTAGTACACAACAGGAAAGTTTGAACTTTCTTGTTCATGAATACAGTCAAATTATGAATCACATGTGATACACATGGGAGCCAAGGTGTTAGAGTAAAATTCTAATCGACTTAGTTAACTTATTTTAATGTCACTCATAAAACAATACAAATCAACGATGATGCAATTCACAATGGCTCTGCTCCCGGCTGGACAACCCCTCGCTCTCGACACAAATCTTGCAAGCGGTGTTGCCAAGCCATATAAAAATACAGGCATAATCATAGATAGACATCTTAGGTGGGATAAAATTCATACCAAAACAAGCACGGCTTTGTTTATTATATGTACAATATATGCCGGGTATCGGATGGTTTTAGTTCTGGTAAAATTTTAATTGGAATCGCTTCACCCCTCTCTATTTCGCCCCCGAGCTACTCTTACGTCTAAATTTTCAATGACACCCTGTACTGTCCAAAATGTTTCAGCACAAATGTACCATTTTATATTTTCCATTCTAATTTTTCTTTTCTTTCATTTCAGATATTCGTAAACTACGTACAAAATGCAGAAGTGATCATTAGAAGGAATAATTTACAAGAATAGATTAACCATGCGCGGTTCCTTAGATAATGACGTAAAACCTTGCGTTGCCGGCCAACGTAAGAAAAGATTCCCTAGTCGATGGTCCCTGAGGCAACTCATTTATTCTAGTCCGATTTTAAATAGAAGAAGAGGTCAGAATGCTTCTGGTCCTTCGAAATTTCAGAGTAAGAAAGATGGTGAGTAAAAAAACGTTTATTACACATATACAATATAATATTACACATACAGTGTGGAACAGCCAAATGGAATAAATTCGGCAATAAATAAATGGGGACGTGTTCGGAAAAATGTTCGAACACGTCGATTGGTATTTTTAATTGCGCATTTTTTTTAACAAAAACTTTTTATACAAAGTATAACCCTGTATATTGTTCAATTTTTGGACTCTTCAGAAAATTCTAGACATATTTTATGTACTATGTCCTATAATACCTAACTATTTCGGAAATGTTAAATGTTTTCTGTTTATTGCAAAAATTAACAATAATAAAATAAAATAATTTGATTTCAGAAATTCGTTACAACACACTCAAAAACTAATAAGTTATACTGTTTATTTCTTGATAATGGAACAAAAAAACATATCTCGCGAACCTCTTGGCAACATCCTAATCTGAACGTTACTCAACATCTCAGGAGTGACCGATCTAATTGCAAGCGTTATTCGTCTTCTTAAGTCATCTAGGTCGAGAAGTTTAGTTTTGTACACAATACTTTTGACATATCCCCTTAAGAAAAAGTCTAATGATATCAGTTCAGGGGATCGTGCTGGCCATTCCATCGATCCTACCGATTTGGAAATACTCGATTGAGGTACTGCCGGACATTAATTTGGTAATGGGGCGGTGCTCCATCTTGCTGAAACCATATCACATTCGCTGGAACTTATGGGTTTGCTGGATCGGAATATAAGGTTAAAGTTGGCATGACATTATTTTGGAGCAGTGCCAAATAATTATCGCCATTCAAATTGCCATCAATGAAAAAGGGCATATGATATGATTGCCAACAATTCCTGCCCAAACATTAACCTTTTCAGGGTATTGCGTATGTCCTCTCATCCAGTGAGGATTTTCCCTAGACCAATATGGACAATTTTGACGATTAGCATGACCCTCAAGTGCAAAGGTACACTCATCAGAAAACAAAACATGTTCTTATTGGATCACCATATTATCTAACATTGACATCGTTTGTTCACATAATTGCGTTCTCCTATCAAAATCGTCTTCCATGAGCTCCTGAGTTGTTATTATTTTATAGAGATGCATTTTATTTCCTTTTAATGTTCGAATAATCGATGAATGGCTAATATCGAACATTGAGTCTCCTTGTCGACTAGAAGTATATAGGTTTTCCAGAAACTCAAGCATAATATCCAATTTGGTATAATTAGTGTTATATACAAATTATCTCCAAACTCTTAATTTTTATATCAACTGACAAATAATAATTATATGACAAAACATGACATACACATAATAATTCTCAACTACCTAGTACGTACTAACTAGGACATATCACCTCCCCCATAAATCCTTTTCTGGTAATTCGACTTAAGTATTTGTTCTACATGTCGTTTATGTACTCGCCCATCGTCTGTCTCTACATTATAATGTAGTATTCAGCCTTTCCTTAATTTTTCCAAAAATTCATTTTTCTGCTTTATTTCCGTAATTTCTTATTTGTACCCGGTCTCCCACACTAAAACATCGTCGTTCTGCGTTCTGTTTAGGTGGCCTACCCTACCCTTCATAAGATTTAGACATGTTCTGATATTCCTGCCAAACATTGACTGAAGAGTTAGGGGCTCTTCGAATTTGCATTAATATTCTACTTAGTTGTAAGTTTAATCTTGTACGTTCTGAAACTTTCTCTCCTAAAGCATTCTGCCTGTCCATTTGTAGATGGACGATATGGTGCTGATGTTTTGTGCATAATTCCGTTAGTTGTCAAAAATGACTCGAACCAATGGGAGGTAAATTGGGGTCAATTATCCGAAACCACTGTCAGCGGCAGTCCAAACGTTGTGAAAAGCTTCCTTAATTGCTGTTTGGTCCATTCAGAGGTTGTTACTTTTATTGGTATGGCCTCTATCCACTTAGTGTATATGCATCTACTACAATAAAGAAATAAGTATATTATTCATGGGCCCTCAAAGTCGATATGAATTCGTTACCAAGGTTCCTGCGGTAATTCCCATGGATGGAGTTCAGTTTTGGGTGGTCCGTTTCTCTTATGGCAGCATTCTCTACATTTACTCACCATCTTTTCTATATCTTTATCTAGTTATTTCCAATAGCAATAACTACGAGCCAATGCTTTTATTTTTGTCATTCCCATATGTCCTATGTGTAATTTAGTTAATACCTTTTGTTGTAATACCATTGGTATGACCACTCTTGAACCTCGAAATATGCAGTCGTCTTGTAATATATATTCATTATTTTCTTATCCTAATATGTTCAAATTTTCTCCATTCTTTAACTTTTGTAATACTTCTTTCAATTTTTGATCTTTAACTGTTTCTTTCCTAATTTCCTCCTTAGTGACTGGTAGTACATCAATTTGATTGAGTTGAAAAATTTCACATTGGTCTTTGTAATTGCTCAACTTTTCGGTTACTAGAAAACGTGATCAGCATTTGCGTGTTCTGTAGTTTTTCTGTATTTATTGTCATAGTTGAACCCTGATAAAAAGTAAGCATAGTGAAACATTCTTGTTGCAGTCATTGATGGTAAATTTTTTGAGGGGTTGAAAATTGAAACCAAAGGCATATGGTCAGTTATTTGCATAAATTTTCTGCCGTAGCAGTATGGGAAAACAAATTTTAACGCCCAGTATATACCTGTGGCTTCTTTATCTATCTGACTGTAATTCTCGCTTTTTGTTAATGATCGTGAAGCAAATGCTATTGGCTTTTCAGTGCCGTCCCGCATCGTATGAGACAATACAGCACCTAACCCAACTGGTGATGCATCGATTGCTAATGTTAACGGTAATTCTGGATTATAGTGGACAAGAGTACGTTCACTGGCTATCTCTTGTTTTATCTTCTTAAAATACTCTTCACATTGGTCATTTCATAAATACTTTGCATTCTTTTGTAAAAGTAAGTTTAGAGGGCTTAAAATTATTGCGAGGTTTGGATAAATTTATTGTAATAATTTGTTAATCCTAAAAATGTTCTCAGCTATGTTATATTTTCTGGTCGTATAGCATTCGTTATTGCACTGCACTTTTCCTTCGTTTTATGTAGTCCACTTTCATCAATCATGTGGCCTAGATATACAATACGCCGTTGAAAAAAATTACACTTTCTTATGTTGAGTCTTAAGTTATGTTCTTTTAAAATCTTCAACACGTAATCGTTCCACGGTTATCTCTAATGTGTTTCTCTGTATAATCATGTCATCTAGGAAACACTGAACACCTTCATGTTCACCTTAAATTCTATCCATATATTTTTGCCATAGTCCTGGAGCTACTTTTACCCTATAGATAACAATTAGTTATTGCATTGGCAGCTGTTTTTTATCTGCCTTACATGTCCAAGCTCGCGAAACTGCTTCTCTATTTTACTAATTGTCCCTTGGGATATACGCGGTAAATTTGTAAATGTTTTATAAAATAAGCGAGCAACTTCCATTTGTGTCCGTGTGTTATTTCCATAACCAATCGTCTGTATAATTGTTATTTTGTGCATTTCTGTTAAATGAACCATTTTTCTGATATGCAGTTAATGAAATTCAAACGATTATAATACTGACAACTACTGTCATGCAGATTAGACTAGGCCAAAAAAATAAAACAATTTTTTTTCTTAGCGGAACTATGAAAATATTGTTCATGCTGACAAAAAAAAAATTTTCCTGAAATTTTGAGCCCTTAATAATAATATTAAGAGGTGCATCATTGCATTTATTGATTTTTCAACAGTTGTCGCGTTTTTGCATAAATTTCGGACTTGGTCAATTTTAAAAAAAATTTTCATCTCTTATCCTTGTAGGAAATTAAATTCCCCACAAAAAAGCTCTCTTAGTAAATTTTCGCAAGACGAGTCTATTCTTTGTAATCGAGCCTTAAACATTGGTATATATTTTCAATTTTTCACTTTGCATTTGGGATTTCCAAAATGAACTTAAATATTAAGATTACAAAGAATAGACTCGTCTTACGAAAATTTACTAAGAGAGCTTTTTTGTGGGGAATTTAATTTCCTACAAGGATAAGAGATTAAAATTTTTTTCAAAATTGACCAAGTCCGAAATTTATGCAAAAACGCGACAACTGTTGAAAAATCAATAACTGCAATGATGCACCTCTTAATATTATTATTAAGGGCTAAAACTTTCAGGAAAAATTTTTTTTGTCGTCATAAACAATATTTTCATAGTTCCGCTAAAAAAAAATTGTTTTATTTTTTTGGCCCAGTCTAATGCAGATAGATAACAATTTGCTAAGGTCAGGCGTTTTAAACAAAAGTAAACAAAACTATTTAAGTATAACTTTTTTATTTCATATCAGTAAAAAGGAACGCTGAAATGGTTTTTGCTTACTTTCTCATTATCAAGACCTAAATGGGAAATAAGTATTGGGTTACAACACACAATTTTATTTTGTTAATGTTAATTGGACATAGTTATGTAGAAATGATCCAATCCATCCAATCCATAATTTGAGAAAAATGATCTAAAAGTCAAATTCTCTACGCGATAACAATAGAATATATAGCAAATATTTATGATTTTCACTATTAATATCCTTCTTTATTGTTGGATCGTTTCAGAAGAATATCATTTTGGACTGTAACTTATCCAAAAGCTACTCAAGTCATTTCTGGTAGATTTGTGGATTGGACCATTTCTGCATAACTACGTCCAATTTTTGCAATAAATCGGAAAACATTTAATATTTTCGAAGCAGTTAGGTATAGTACATAAAATTTGTCTAGAAATTTCTGAAGAATCCAAAAATTGAAAAATATACACGGTGTTGCATTTAAAATAAAAAAGTTAGTATTGGCCACTGTTACATGACACATCCTGTACAAAAAGTTTTTGCAAAAAAAACATTTCAACTAAAATTACCAATCGACGTGTCCGAGCGTTTTTCCGAACACGCCCCCGCCCCATTTATTTATTACAGAATTTATTCCATTTGGCTGTCCCACACC